TTCCTGTTCATGATCCGATGTGTTATGATGCCATGGTATAATATGTGCTCTCCATTCTTAGTGCAGGAGGAAACTAAAATTTAGAAGGATTTTACTAAGGGTTATAAAGTTCTGATGGAACAGATCCCATTACTCCTAAAATAAGGGCTGCCCCTGCTTGACATTGTATATTTTCTGTTCAAAGCTAAATCAAAAAAAAAAAAAAAAAAACAACTAATATTATGGAACGGTATGAATGCAGACTTTTACTTTTTGGAATATTATGGGTTTGATAATGCCCCTTACAAGAGCTGGAAAAAAAATTGCAGCCTTCAATTTTTGCTTCAGGCTAATATTGCATGTTAATTTTTTTCCCAGCTTCTTCACTGCTCTTTGCAGTAGTCACCTTATGTGTCTTTGCTGTGTTTCTAGTGTTCCTTCCTAGCTCTGCTTCAACATGACTGCAATGTTATTGTACCTTTTCTATCATCACAGTATGTCCTTGACCTATTTATCCAGACCACTATTAACTGACTTACAGCGTAGAACAATTTAATATAGCTACCTTGTATTTTTGAAGTCTTTGTGAAGATTCATCATACTCCCGTCTATAACATTTTTCATTTGCGTGTCTACAGCATGTTCTGGGAATCCTTTCTAGACATAGGCAAATACTTCAAAATATTTTCTTTGATTTTTTTATATTTTTAATGAAATTGTCTTGGACTGGATTTGTACTCACTTTTGTTTTCTTTCACGTATTTTTGTTTGAGGAATGTTTGCAAACAGTATATTTTTAATCAAGTACTACAACCTGTTTACAGAAAAATGAATAGAATTCTAAGCATTTACTCTTGAATGCTTTGAAGTGTTACAGTAATCCACCTAGAGAACAGGACCAGGGAACAGGACTCCTTAAACTGTTCATGAAGAAGCCACAGGGCAGTACACATTCTGAACAACACAGTAGAAAATATCTAATTATGGATTTTTACATTATTTTATAAACAATTTCAGGAAGATCATTTTAATCATTTTGAAACAATTTTGGAAAAAATAGAAATTGACTTCAGTGAATTGGATATTTTATGAATCATTTTCTTGTCTACAATTATCTACGATTGTTAAGCATATTTTTTGATCTGTTGACTTAACCAGAATATGCCAAAATACCTCACCAGATTTTTTAAATAACTGAAATAACTCATCATACTAATACTATATCAAAGTAGTTTCTCCTAACAATGGGCATCAGCATGTGTCTAGGGAAGAATATAGCAACAAGTCAAGTCTATAGAGATGCATATCCATAGTACAGTCCCACTAGTAGTAATTAATTGCTTGGGGAGTTCCTGAGTCAGAGTGATATTTTTCTATTTTTCTTATACAGACTTGTTTTTTTAAGAGACTGTGTAGGCCTTTAGTAGCTGCTGCATACTGTGGAGAGGAGTGCCACATTTTTAGATATGTGATGTGCAAAGAACTCTACTGCTTAACTTGCTACCTGCTGATTTCATTTTGAGACTTGCATTGGAGGAGACAATGAACAATCTTAACACTTTCTTTTTCCATGTCCAAGATTTAGCAGCTGTCTACCAGATTCCCTCCCAGTCATGTCCTTTCTGGGCTGAAGAGCTGTAGTCCATTAATCATTCTCTGCATGGAAACCATTCCACAGCTTTAATATCTTTGTTGCCTTTCTTCCACTTCTACTGTGTCTTCTAAGGTAGAAGCAAATGGCTGCAGTATTTATATAGTGGCGTAATGATATTTTCTGTTATTTTATATTTCTTTCTAATAAATTGCAGTATTTGATTTGGGTTTTTTTGACCCCTAAGCATTGAGCTAATGTTTTCAAGGGATTAGGTATAATTCAAAGATTGTGGGAGGTAATGCTCACTTCCAATTCCATTGTTTTATATGTAAAGTTAGGATTATTTTCTCATATACTCATCACTTCTAATTTATTTACATAGAATTTCACCTGATAATTCTCCAGGCAGTCGCTCAGTATTAAGTTTCTTATAATGCCAAGTATAAATCATGTTTAAAAATCTTAATGTAATATCCATAGAAACAAATAAGAGACAAATTTAAATTAGATTTTAATAAAGTCTGATAATTCAGAAACAGTTATATACTGCCAGTCTTAATTATAAAATATACAGGTGGTATCCGTCTATACAACGCTAACGGTGTGAAGTGGCCTATGCTTAAAAAGTGATCATTAATACTGTGATGTTAAAACAAGTCACAATTTTACATTCTTATATATGGAAAAATGCCACAATAAAATTAATATGATATATTTTTTTCTTTGAAACAAAAAAATAGTAAAAAATAAAGAGGTACACTAGAAACAAGAAAGAGAAGTAAATGTAAAAGTTATTTAATTTTAAGACTCTCTGTGATTACTTTCACTTCATTTGTGGTCTTTTGACACCAGTTAGCACTCATATCTGTGCTTTGGTAAGTATGGTATTAATTGCTGCAAAGGATACTTATTCAGTGTTAGTATTGAGTTGATAAACCCTTTCTTTGTTGTGATCAAAACAAAAGCAGCGCTACAAATTTTATTTTTCTATAGAAGTACCTTCATTTACTTTAGTGATTATTATAAATAGTTTGACTACTTTTACAGGAATTCTATTGACCATACTGCACAGAAGGGAGAGCTAATGCATGCCTGTTTTTCAGAGAGTGAAGAGTTACTATTCAGAATACATATTTTTACAATATTTTTTATTTTTTTCATGTTTCCATGTGTGGTCCTTGCAACTTATTATTAGAAACAGAGAATTGACTTGCTGAAATATCTCTGATCTAATTCTGAAAATCATGGTAGAAGAACTTCAGGAAATATGTTGTAACAGCTATAGGTCGTTATAATTTTGCAGAAAGACACTTTATATTGTGCCAGGAGAAGGTCTTTTGTCACAATTTAAAGGTTTCGTCACAATTTAAAAAACAGCTAAGAAAAGAGTTTGGCTCCTCATTGTAGGTTTGAAATATACTAGAAGGAAGTGTGAAGAGAGCATTTTTATTAGAATATCTCTTCTCTGCTACCACTCTCTACAGTACATTTCTTCCATCACTTTCCTTTATATTGAACTACCTTAAAGCCCTAGGATGTCAGCTGCCAATGTATCACTTACGTAGTTGAGTACTGTATCAGTGAGTCATAGTCACAGGTTATTTCAGCATAAGATTTATCTTCTCACAATTTTAAATGTGACTTCTTAGGCAAATATGTGTAGTCAAAGTAAAATCAGAAAAAAATTACTGAAGTATATGTACATTTTAAGTAAGAGTAATGCAGATTTACTGTATATTGCATATTTGATATTTTAAAAGAGAAACAATTAACTGGTAGGCAAATAGGCAGTTATTAGCTGTATCATATGAAGTGTTTGCAAAATAGAGATATAGTGGAAATCAGAAAACTGTTTTATGTTTTATTTTAAAGACATTACATTTTGGTTATCTCAAGAAACCCCCAGAAAAACATGACCTTCAATACCGTAGCTTGTTCACTAGTAACTTCGTAACTTTTCTCTTTCCTTTTTTAAAGTTATAATGTGAATAGAACTTTCAGCATTAGAAATGACAAAAGAGATAACTAAATGTTCTTAATTAATTTTTACCAATGTGGAGACTTTTAGATTTGCTCCTGCATTAGGATTTCAGAATTTCAATTTATGTATATATACTGTGAAGTTTTCACATGAAACAAAATTTAGGTGCTTGGGTTCTGATGCAAGATCAGGGTACTTTTCTTTGTATAGAAATTCTGATACATAGAATGCTTTATATCAGTGCTTTATGTCAAGTATTCTGAGATACAAATTGTGTCCATTTTCCTGCACTCAGCGAAGAAGCAATTATATAGAATTATAAGCGCAGTCATTTAAATATCAGCTACCACTTGGTCAGTGTTTAGTGTAAAAAGCAGTAAATTTGAGTGTACATATTTGTAGCATTGGTCATTGAATTATTTTCCAGGTCTAAATGTGATAAAATGAAGTAGTTAGTTAGTTAATGCTTTTCACTCACTTTCCCACCATCCTCAATGATAAGGTAGGTAAATATCAGTATTTTTTATCAGCTTTTTTCACAAATGAAAAAAAAGAAAAAAGAAGTAATGTGAGTTTCCCAAAGCTACAAAGCAAGTCAAGTGCAGAGCCAGAATTACCTTTTTTTCCCCTCAGGTATGCAATTACATGGAAGTTAAGAGTCAAGTAGTGTATTTGGTTTTTTTTTTTGTTTTGTTTTGTTTTATTTAATTTTCCTTACTCTCTTATGCTCTTGAAAGTCAAATCATTTTGGGACTGTGGTAGGAAGGGCGATGCATGGAAAAGGATTTTTATCAAGTTAATAAGCATAAAATTGATTTTCTAGAAAAGCAGAAAAATGTCTACCCTACCTATTTCCTTGGAATGATATGTAAATGAAATCCAGAAATTCCAATTGCATTTCTGGATCATGTTTTTCAGCTGATGTGAGCTTTTCACAAGAAAATGTGAATAATGAAAATAACAAATCTATGACTAGATTCATGTTTTGGTCATTGTTTTGAGGGCTATTTTAATTTAGTTTCCTAATTACATTTTTAAGGACAAGGGAGAAATTGGGTGCTAACTCTAATCTAAAAAGTTATGATTTTTTACAGGCATTTTTGTTAAGTCCTGCATTTTAGCAAAATGAGTGTGATCATAAGCAGCCTTTCAGTATGTGGTTAACTGTGTCAGTATTAAATGGGTAAATTTTGTGGTTTACCTTGACAGTGTTCCTTTAAGCATGTACTTAGTCCTTTGATTGTAGTGCCTAGAATTAGAACATCCATTTTTATATACTTTTAAAAACTTATTTGACAAATTTAAAAATTGCTTAGCTGTCAGTAGTAACTACACCATATGTGAGGAGATGCTTTCAGTCATTATTATCTATGGTGTTTAAAACATTAATACATATACATATATATATATATAAAACCTTTCTCTTTCCTGAATCAATGTAAACAGAGCCCAGATGGCCGTATAGAAGTCAAAGGGCAGCATGGAAAATCGTCACTGCATATTAAAGATGTGAAGTTGTCAGATTCAGGGAGATATGACTGTGAAGCTGCAAGTAGAATTGGTGGGCACCAAAAGAGCATGTACCTTGATATTGAATGTAAGTTCTAATATTTTGTTTTCTCTTTTAAATTTGTTTTAAAAGAAAAAAAGTACATTCTTAATGGAAGGTCAGTTTTTCTGGTCATTCTTGTTTAAAATTGCATGATTTAAGAAAGAGT